TGATTAACCAACTTGCTCGAGTAATCGAATAATCGCACAGCCCTAATATATATAAAAAAGAAAAATAATTGCAAAGTAAAATGTATTTTTAACAAGCCTGAAATCGTTTACTTTTTTAGAAAATAATTTCAATTAAATTGTAAATTTTCTTAATGCATATGTACATATGTATGTAAGTACGTACTTAGTTCGAGAGAGAATCCAAATTAGGTAACAACATCCATACACGTGTACACCGTACCACCTTACAACAAAAACAAAAAAAGAACGCCGTCTCAAAATACTATGGTGAGGCAAATTTGCAAAAAATTTTTTTTGTTTGTTTGACCGAACCTAGGGATCGCCTTTACGGCGAACTGTTTTTTGAACGACTTAAAAAAGGAGGAGTTTATCAATTCGTCGTATTTTTTTGTATTTTTTTATGTTTAAGACGTGTAGGTCCATGGTAGGAAAGAGCCGGAGATGCGCACCAAAAATACTGAGTTGTGTATTCGACGATAGTATGACCCATAATAGCCTATGGAGCCATCATTTGGTCCGATGGAACTATACAACTTGGAACAATCAAAGCGCAAGATTACAAAGGCTGGCATGTGTATGCATAACTGGAGCCATGAGAACTTGTTCAATCGCATCCTTAGAAGTTCCTTTAGATCTGACTTGAATATTCTGACAAAGAAGTACCTTGTAATTGCAATACTGAGAGATACCTAGCAGGCATCCGAGGTTCAGCTTTACAAAGAGGTTGAAAACGGATCTGAGTTATGAGAAGAGCTGCGCAGAAATATCCGAGGCATATCGGATACACCAAAACATGATAACCTGGTACACTGAAGCTCATTGACTGAAGAGGGTACCAGGGTAGGTGTAGTCAAAATATATGTCCATTTTTCGGGCCGAAGTATAGGCGCTAGCAGGATGGGCGGACTTCAATATCAAGTGAAAATACCGGAATCAGAACATCGCGATCTCGACTGACAGCCAAGCGGCTATTAAGGCGCTCAGATCTCGACAGGTAACATCCAAACTGGTGATGGGGTGCCTTGTATTACAGGAAACGAGATCTCCGATAATCTTGCGAAGAAAGGAGCATCAACCCCTTTCATCGGCTTAGAGCTCTTCTGTGGCATAGGAAAAAGGAGCATTCTCTGCCCTCACCCAGTTAGAAGAAGAGGCTCAAAGAAATCGATACTAGTAAAATTTACCAGCTCTAGAGCAGCCCAAAACACTTTTAGAAACATATAACCAAAAATACTTCAAGGAATGTGTGAGCTTATCCAAGAATTATTGCAGCAATCCTTACAGGCATTGCAGGCTGAACTATCACTTGATTAAACTGGGAATTTACTCGTAGGCGTGGTACAGGTTTTGTAGAACAGTTATTGAGGCTGCACAACACATCTTAGAAAGGCGTTCTTCACTGATACACAAACGCTAACTAACGGTATTCCCAAATTTTTATAAGAATATTGAAGCGGGTTATTTTTTTTTTTGCTTCAAAATTACTTATTTCTGGTGCGGTATAATTTACATATGTACAAATCGTCGCTACTATGTCAAACTATCGAATTTGCCAAAATGCTTTTTCATTTACGATACCTTTATATGCTAGGATGGAGAAGTACTAGAAGTACGAAGCTTTATATGCTAGGACGGAGAAGTACTAGAGAGAGTATGTGCCTGGCAAAGGGCTCTTTGCGATTTGGATCTCTGCCAATGCACCGAGACGTGTCTGGATTCTTCAAAGCACATGCGCGAACGTAAAAAAATGGCTTTACAGGATAACTCTGGCTAAGACAGTAAACAATATTTCGTAATAGCCCTGACAGACATATCGAGCCCTAGCCGCCAAAATAACGTAAGCGACATATTTTTCAAAATTTTGTTTTTGATGCAGAAATATTACTAGAGCATCGAGATACATTTCTGCATCAAAAAACAAATTCGAAAATAATGTCGCTTAAGTTATTTTGGCGGTTAAGGCTCGATATGGTTTATATACTATACTAGAATTCTATACTACATGTCTGTCGTTGTAAACCACAATTATACCATCGTACAAAGTGGTTTGAAGCTGGTCCCTATACTACGAAAATGAACGCGGTATAAAGCGAGTATACCATGAAACACAGCCAGAGAGTAAAAAAAATTTCACCAAAAATGTATGGTGAAAACAAACAGAGACAGTGAACTGATAGCATTTATGTATGCGATGTGTGTCTCAACGAAATAGTATCAAAATCCATAGTATGCATACCAAGGTGTACAAACCACATGTCTGGCAGGGCTATAAGACAAATGAAAGACAGTTGGCAATATAGTTCGAAAGGCTTTTGTTATTCTAGCACAAGTCTTAGAAAAAAAGCTCTCCTCTCATTCACCATTCGTGGTGAAAAGCTATTTTGGGAGAAAGCGCTTGTATTCACTTGCACTCGCTTCGCTCAACTGCATTGGCCAAGTGCGCAAAGTACAGGCGTACGATTAAAAGATCCGAGTTCGAGTCTCGGGCAGCGGATTTATTCTTATTTAAGTTTGTTTTCTTTGTTTTTAGAAAACTATATATTTTTAATAGCTTTTAATTTTTATAAGTTTATTTTGTACATTTTTTGGTTTTTAATTAACCAACTTCCAAAA